TATTCAGGATGTTGATAGTAAAAAATTCAATTTTTAACTCATTTAACATTATAAATTGATAGGTTTATGTATAGCATTATTATTCGTAAATCATAAAAAAAGTCTATACTTTTTTTAAAGGTCTAACAAATTTGGATTTTGCTACCATATTACAGTTGTTACATATGATTAGTAAGGTGCCAATAATGTAAAATTCGAGTGAAAATAAATTTGGTTCTATTAATACATTCTTGGATGGAGTTTGATACACTGATCAATAATATGTGAGTTTCGGTTTTTTTTCTATCGTCTTGTCAGAGAGCAAATTTGAAAATACTCAAAGGGTATAAAAATGGATAAAAATCGCTTATTTAAGAAAAATTGGATTTTATTTACCACTTTCATTGCCAAAACATTTCAAGCTATATTTTTTTTCTTATTCGCCATCTAATACTGGGCATAAGATTTTTCAGCAAAAAACAAATAACAAAAAAAATTGAATTTTCTTCTAATAAGCGGTTTTCAGTCTATTTTTACATCCTTCGAGAGTTTTCGAATTAGCTGTCTTACAAGATCAGTGCATCAAACACCTGTCTAACAATGTATAAATAAAATCCAAATTGTTTTCACTCGAATCCTGCATTATTGACATTTTATTTTCTGAACATCTTCCATACTTTAAGTTTATCTCAACATTATTGTATCAAATCCATGATATAGGAAGGGAAAAAAAACTAATCACTTTAACTTTTTGATTTATTATATTTAAAGTTTGAAAATAGCACTGTCTAACAAAACTGAGTACTTCCAGAAATAACAATGACTAGACATCGAATTCTAACTTGAAAGTAGTCTCATTGGAAGAGGTCCTAAATTGTGTATTCTGGAAAAAAATATCGTCGGCACATTTGTGTTGACTATACTTTCATAGAACTAGAAAAAACAGTGTTTAGAGCAATATACTCCGATTGGGACGGTAATTGAGAGTTATCAATAGAAAATGATTCAAATATCAAAGACTT